GCAATTGACATGCCGCATATTCCACCTTACGATCCTCCGAGCACTTACTAATATGGAGTACAGACTCCATGCTGTCAAACCAGGACAATAATCCTACCACGCCTTCTTTGCCGTAAAACTCCTTAGGCTTACAAGACATAAAAGTCTTGTAGGTGCATCCTTGATCACTGCCACTCTGATCTCCATCATTTCTTCGATGGTTGTCGATGCTGGCGGTAACTTGAGTGACAATGCTAGGGATGGCATCTCAAACCTGTTGGGCTATGAGCTGAGCAATGTCTGGTGATCGATTCTCAGGGGCCCCTCCCGTGCTTCGGTTGTTCCTTGTTGACATGGTTCTAAATTATTTGAAGGAAAAGGTTAGGTTAGGGTTGTATATATATATATATATTTATTTTGCAATGAAGGTTTTCCCTCTTTATAACAGTTTATTGGAAAAATAAAACAGGGAATAGCTTTTCATGTATGGACTGAAATAGGAAATTTTAAACAAGCAATTAATATCTTCCCGTAATCTTTTCCGAAATTTGACGTTATCACGTCATTACGATGCATGATCTTAAAGGAGGGAAATTGGAATACATGACAAAAAATTCTGAAAGCTACGAAGCACAAGGGTCACAAGCACGAGAATCAATATCGCCACCAGAATCGTCACCGTCCAGTACCACAGCTCCATCCTTCTTGCCGCCCTGGTAACCTCTGCGGTCCTCTGAATAGCCTGGATCATGCCTTGCTCCAATAGGTGTGCTACTTCGGTCAGCCTTAGTATAGCCTGGTCCTGGCGATTCACCCTACCCTGGTAGCTCCTAATCTCACTCTCAAGAGTGCTCAACCTCAAGGTCTCTTTGGTTGGTGCTACTAGGTTCCTTGAGGTCAATGCTCTCGGGGAAAAACAGGAGGGTCCGGCCATGAAGTCACGGGGTATGGTAATCCCGCTTCGAACTGGGAGATCGACTCTTTTTCGAGCCGTTACCTTAGTACGAGGCCCTGGGTACATTGGTTCTGGGGCTGGATTTACCGGTGGAGGTTGGGGTATAACTGTAGTAGGGGGCACCGGGTACAAATTAGTGGATGTACTGTTTCTCGTCACTTCGATAGATGATTCGGAATGCTCAGACGGGTCCTCTTCCGATGAAACCCTTGTTACGGATGGTGCCATAGCGACTGGAGTGTTTATATAGTCCGTTAGTACATAATTTTTCGACATTAGTGATACTCTAATGCTAACACAATAGTGTCCGTAGTGACATCAAGTCCATACAGCGTTCCACAAAGTACGTATGCACAGTGATCACGCACAAATGCCTTGCATGCAAATATTTATTTATTATTTTTTTAAAATAAAATTTTCATACTCCAACTATAATTATTCCTAGTTTCCCTTTAGTATTTCTTAATTAAACACAGGTGATCAGGCTCTGTTTAATTAAGATCTACTATGCGAAGCTAGGCTAACTATACTAGTTGTATGTTGACTATAGTGTAGGTTTTTCTAGGGGAAACCGTCATTCTCTATAGCCTTGGCTCTGATACCAAGTCTGTCACACTCCGCCGCAGCGGATTTTACGGGATGTTACAGAGCAAGTATGCATGGCACAAGACAAAAGAAAA